CACCAGCCCCAATCCGCCCCAAATAGAAGTGACAGGACAGCGCAATTTATCGTCATAACCCCTGCACCGCCTCAACACCACCCAGCAGCCCCGTACACACTGCAGGCTCACACGCACAGCCCCTCCTACACACACACACACACACACACACACACACACACACACACACACATGCTTCTGAATGGTGAGCAGGTGTGTGTGTGTAGAGGCCTGTGATTGTGTGTACTGTACATACTGTGGAATGAGTGTGTTGTGATACTGTGTGTGTGTGTGTGTGTGTGTGGTCTCTTCGCTCCAGTGTAGGGGCCAACCTCACTGCTCTGGCCCCCTGCCCTGCCTATTATCTCATTGATTTCCTCCTCTCCTCTTTTCAATTCTCTCCATTTCCACACTGCCGTCCTTTCCATTAGAGGAGCAATTTAACAGAGTGCTGTGACATGGGAGGGAAAGAGAGAGAGGGAGGGAGGGAGGGAGGGGAGACCGGAGGATTGGAAACATAAAGTGAGGAGGGGAGATAAAGTGAAAGGGCTTGAGGGAGAAGACGGAGAAAAGAGGGATGGAACTGAGGGAGGGATGAGCAGATCGTATCGTCCCGTCTCAGAGAATGGCATGACTGAAAATTTCACACAGTTTGTAAACTGAGCTTAAAGGGTAATTCCAACAAGTTGTAATAATTGAAATGATCCTTTAAGTGAATATATAACTTAATGGTAATTTCCACATGTATTCCTATCCATTATTGCTCTACATCTTCTTCTTCTTCTGTCCGTCTTCCTCGCAGGAGTTTCCTCCAGAGCCGTATGCGATCTCCCCACGACAGACACCCGTCGTCCACCCCGCACTGGAGAGGAAGCAGCATGTGCTGGATCCGTGGTTCCCTGTACCGGGTGTCGGCCAATAAGCTGTCCCGCACCGTGGCGTCCAGCATGTCGATCAACCGAACAGGTACTCTGCCCGTCACTGTCACGGTCTCTGGCAACACGCTGACGACATACAGAATTTGTGCGACCCCACGGTTGGTTTGTGGCAATTCCATCAGTTGTACAAGGTCTGAAGTTGGCAAAATATGGGTCTAAATAAGGAAGAAATAGCACCAACGTGACCTGTTATTTAAAATAGTAGCATTTGATATGACAGGCGGTGGTGCTGCAGACACATTTTTAAGTCGCTACCAAAAACGTACTGAGGTTTGATACCCGGCACTATTCTGCACATGGATTTCAGGGCGGCAAGTGTGTGTGTGTGTGTGTACACCCCGAGGTGATAAAGGAGTGTTTATTCATGTTTGTGGCTGCAGCTCTGCCCACATGCTCTCTAATAGACTTACAGGAGCTGGCTGGATTTGCCATCTGAAATAATAAAGTTGTCATCTGTCAGAGCAGAGTAGGGGGAGGGTCTGGAGAACTGGACGGTGCAGATTAAAGCCCGGATCCGCCTCAGCCTCCTCCACACTTCTGTAGCAACTACACCTGCAGGTGAAATTGAAGAGCTCCATTCTGTCGAACTCGTGACCGGCATCCCAACGCTCGCATTCCTGCATCTCCCCCCCCATAAACACACCTCCAGTGTCCTCCCAACATCTTCCTCCCCCCATAGAGCTTCACATTTGGTCTTCAGCCACCAGCCTGCAATTCTGCTCTGCTTGAATCACATCAGATGAGAGCCAAAAAAAAGGTTCCAAAATTAGAGGAATAAGATCAACTGCCATCTGTAACTTCAGCCTCCTCGCCTTCTTCTTTTCCTCCTCCTCCTCTCCTCTCATGGCCTCCAACAACCCTCCACACACACACACACACACACTCGCCTTTCCCTCCTGTGTGTGTGTGTGTGTGTGTGGAGTGCAATGGGTACACAGTGTTTATGATGTTCTCAGACAGAGCTGGACATCACGTTTGGCTTTGGCACCAATGCGTCAAACCACCACCGTATAAATAACCAGGCACATATCGGGTTGTTATTGCATCTGGCTGCACAAACACACACTCGGGCACAGCTTCACTTCTGTCATATGGGAATAGTTACAATGGTATTTATTTTAAAATGTTGTATTTAAGATACGCCTTTTGTAAGATAACACCATCTGGACAGGCAAGATGAATACATTGTATTTAAATGATCAATATATATATATAAGTCTTTATCAATCAGGCTGCATTTCAGTGTTAGTTGAGCACAAATGCTTGATTATACGCAAAAAACGTGTTGTGCTTCTGTACGTGTGCTCTCATAGAGATAAATGGCAGTTGTGAAAACCGAAATATGTTTGTACAACTCAGTTGGGTGAACCTGGACATCTACATGAGGTATAGTAGTGAGTAGGGGCCGCCGGTATCGGAGAGAATTTTTATATTTTGTAAAATGACAATAAGAAGAAAAAGAAACATTTTGCTGCAGCCACGGGACAAAAACGACAGACCCAAATAGTGGATTAGGAGTTCAACACTCCACCCTTTTCGCTAATTTACCGTGGAGATTATATGCTCGATTAAAAGGAAACGGAACACAGGATTACATTTCAATTAACATTGCTCACATGTCCTTATTCTCCTCATTTAGGAAGGCCTTCCAGCGCCTCACCGGTCTCGCCCTTGAGTCCTGCTTTCAACCGGCCCTTCAGCCCTCGTCATCTAGCCAGGTAAGCTCTTCACACCGCCAACCTCTTTCATCTGTTCTCATCGGAGGCACTCGAGCGCAAGTGGTGCAAACATTGCTGCGTGCGAATCCGACAACTTTTTACTTACTCTTACACTTATATGTGGGCCATCCTGCTGGCTATCTTCATACAGCAGCACCACCAAGACATCCAATCCGGCCAAGACTTTTGCATTTGATCCCCCTCTCCCAACATTAACTGCCTTTCGTCACTCTCAACCGAGGGCAGTGAACCCAGAAGGTATCATTTAGAAATGAAATGAGCATATGGTAGATGCCTTCACCCCAAGCTCCTCACGGGGGTGAGGGTGGAAACGTCAACCCTGTTCCAATTTCTCCTCTTTAGTAACCACGAGCTGCTTGTTATTGACGCGTTTGTCTTGTGTTTTCTGAAACCAGCCGCGCAGTCCAGCGCAGCCTTGCCATAATCCGACATGCTCATCAGAAGAAGCAGCAGAAGCAGTACTGCATGTACTACAACCGCTTCGGCAAGTGTAACCGTGGCACCAGCTGTCCCTACATCCACGACCCGGACAAGGTTGCCGTCTGCACCAGGTAGCATACGGTGAACACGAGAACATGCCATCGTGTGCTTTGGTCCTCTGTAAAGACAGATATTCTCCCATTGCCTCTCTACCCAAGCGAGTTGTGAAGTGCGAGGTGTTATGTTGGGCATCATGGGTTCAGGGACTGAAAGTCTGATCATTTTGTGATACTCGGGGGGGGGGGGAATACATTACACTATCGCACTGATTTTTGTTCCCAACTGCAACAACAAAGCTGCAATTGGTGGTATTTAGAGAGGGCTAAACACTTCCTGAACCAGCAGCTCCTCCCACTTTGCATTTCCATCAGCATCTGACTCGTTTTGCGTTGTGCAGGTTTCTGCGAGGGACGTGCCATCAGGCAGACGGGACCTGCCCATTCTCCCATAAGGTGGCCAAGGAGAAGGTAACGGGCGTTCGACAACGCAGTGTGTTATAGGTTTTCATTGCAAAGGCCGGGGTAGGGTACAGTGTGTAGGTATAAGATGACACGCTATTGGGTACAGTCATCGTGGATCGTATTTGCGTTCTGGGCACGGCTCCTTTTTCCATGACACATGAAGGAGTGAGGAAGTCTTAACCTGATTGGGGGGTTCAGGGAGGGGATTATGGGTAGGCGAGCAGCCTAAAGGTTAGAGCTTGTGACGGAGGGTCACCTGTTCGATCTACAGACCAGCAGGATGAATCTGGGTGTGTGTTGCTTTCTCCTTCCTCATCACCTCCTTGTGTGTGTGTGTGTGTGTGTGTGTGTGTGTGTGTGTGT